GGCCTATACCCCAGTTCTGTATGCATAAATAAATAAATCTTTAAAAAAAAATAGTCTGTGCCAATCATTCATCCATGAATCAGCTACTCAATCTAAATCTAAGTAACCACAGTGTGCCATGCACAGGCATCAGGGATAGAAGTAAAAGGCTGGAGTTTTGTTTTTGTACAGGGCAAAAAACCAAGAACCACACAAAGCCAATTCTACCTGTTAGCTGCCTTTGGAGCAGGAAGCCTGGGTATAAGAAGATTGCAAAAGAAAGCCCCCAGGACTGGAGAGGTAGGGAAATGCTTTCCAGAAGAAGTACCCCTTGGGCTAAAACTTTAAGAAGGTAGTTAAGGAGAGGGGGTTGGTGGGGACTATGAAGAAAGAAGCCTGGGAAGCCACTCTAAGCACAGAATACAGCTTATCCATATTTACACTTATCTGTACTTATACATACTGACAGTGTATGTGAGCAGCAGGGCTTTGGAAACTCAGACAGCAGCATGACCACAGTCTTAGAGTTCAAGGGTATGAGAAGTCCTTCATGCACACTGCATAATTAGATTTAATCCTTAAATTAAGGGGCATACTTTTATTTTTTTAAAGATTTATTTATTTGTGCATACAAAACTAGTGTACAGGCCAGATGTGCAAGGGCAGTGAAAGGATTCACCAGAGACAGAGTGGGAAGCAGGACAGTCAGATCGACGAAGTACACTGCTGAGGGGAGAGCAGTGGGCAGGTCAGGAGAGGTCTGCCACACCATATGGGTCACCTCCAGGATCGAACTCATGTGGAAGTGGCTTTCCATTCTCAGTGCTGTGTTTTAACCTGCTGCGCCACCAGGGAGGGGCATCCTTTTTTTTTTTTTTTTTAAAGATTTATTTATTTGTGCATACAGAACTGGGTACAGGCCAGAGGCTCAAGGGCGGTGAGAGGCTTCACCAGAGACAGAGTGGGGAGCAGAACAGGCAGATCTACTTAGTACACTGCTGAGGGGAGCGGCGGGTGGGTCAGGAGAGGTCTGCCACGCCATGTGGTCACCTCTGGGGCAGGCAGGAATCGAACTCATGTGGAAGTGGCTTTAGCTTCTCAGTACTGTGCTTTAACCCGCTGCACCACCAGGGAGGGCCAGGGAGGGGCATCCTTTTAAGCTGAATTTCAGGTTTGCAGTTTAGAAATATCTGGTGATATGCAGTGTGGTAAAAATGGGTCTTGAGAATGACTAGATAGATAGGATTAGAATCTTAATTCAGAGCTAGAAACCCAGCACAAAAAGCTTAGGTAAAGCTTCAAATTCTTGACTCAAAGCAACCTGATAATTATCATCAACATTATTAGTCTTCTCCCCTCCCAACCCCCACCCCTCAAAAAGAAAACTCAGAGAAAGAAGCATGAAGAAATTTTAAAACACATTCTGATTCAATGCCAAATCCCAGATGGAGCAGAACAAAAGTAAACATCGTTCATGAAATAAACCACCATCAATGTCACTCTATACTGAGCAGAGCTCACAAAGATTATCTAAGAGAGGGTTAACAAATCAAAAGAAATACCCAACCCATCCATCATCTACTCACTCCCATTCCCTCCTGAGCATCTCATATTATTCTTTCCAAAAGACACCAACAGTCAATAGCTATTTGTCACTCTTAAGTTCCAGTAATCCTCCTAGCATTGCAAAAGTGAAATCATTCTTTGCCATAAAAGTAAGAGGGAGATCCTCCCTGGTGACGCGCAGGTTAAAGAACAGCACTGAGAATCTAAAGCCACTTGAGCATGAGTTTGCCTGCTGCTCCCCTCAGCACTGTACTTTGTTAGTTAGTTGGCCTGTTCTGCTCCCCATTCTGTCTCTGGTGAATCCTGAGCCTCTGGCCTGTACCCCAGTTCTGTATGCATAAATAAACAAATCTTTAAAAAAATAAATAAAGTAAGAGGGAGGACATGCCTGAATCACAGGAATCACTACCCCAATCAACCAGTTTACTTTGTGAGGGCACAAAAGAACTTTCTCAATTGTCTTTCACAACATGTCTTGCTGGCCAAGCCTTAGATGTTAGTTTTGTTTGGAAGACCACTGCAGACAGTTGGAAAAGAACCAGAATTCCCCCGGCAGTGACATTCACAGGTAAATAAAAGCACTAGGTTCTCTGTTCTCTAGTTGCAATCATATTGCCTTAGTATTTGTTAATGACTGTCACACCTAATAAAAGGAAAATGTAGATATCGAGCACAAGGAAATCCAAGGATGAGTTTTAAACACCCATCTCTCTTTTGAAGCAGTACTTGGAATTTAGAAATTTGATACCAAATACCATTTTTTCCAACTGTGCCTAGATATGTTTGTGTGTGCACGTGTGTGTGCTCATTTACAAAGATCAACCTACCTATCTAAAAACACTGAGGAGGGGAATGTGAGAAGAAATCTGAAATTGGAGAGTGAAATATGACTCTACAAACACACGAGTGAGGCAGGTCTGCACTGTGTGTACACACACAAATGTGCAAGTTTTACATGCTCAAGCCTTGAGTATTTGATGATGCCTACAAAGATTATTTTCACATACAAGGAACATTAAGAACTAAAGTCACTTTCAAAGTGGTTCTACAGATTTATTGAACTTCTAAAAGTGATACTAACTCTTTGGAACAAACTGGGGCATTTTATGGTTTGTTTCAAAATGCAGGGACGTGGCACTGTGAAACCAGAAGTCGAAGCCCCAGTTTAAAATATAATCACTAGGGAGTTTTCATTTTTCATTCTCCTCACTCACTGAAGGAACTTTTTATGAAATCAAGTTAAATAATAGTTTCTGAGATTGCTCAATTGTACTGAATTTAAATCTCTATGCCCTGGGGAGAGCTTCTAACATTGAAAGACAGAAGATTGTTGTTATTTATGTAATATTCTTTAAATCCTGTTACTTTTTTGCTAAAAATGATATATTTTTAATTTGTAGGGTTAGGGGAGGGGAAAGGGTGAATGAAGATTGTTCTTGCTTTTGTTTCTCTAGGAGTGATAACCTAAGGACTACCAAGGATAACTCAAATATATCAGAGCAATTTTAAAAGAATGTGATGTAAAATGTGCTTCGGATTTCTTATTTCAAGTAGCTAATCAGTTTAAAAATATATAAAACAAAATTTAGTTTTATACCACCCTCAATCACTAAAGCAAAGTAATAAACCTTCTCAATAGCATCTACTAATATATCATGTCCAAAGTCATCAACTTAAACATGTCATTTCATTCCAAATAGAAGTGGCTGCACAAGCGAGCTGAAAAATAGAACTGAACTTAATTAGGAAAAAGTCTGTTCATAAGGAAAACATGAAAAGGACCTAAATTCAAATAGCAAAAAATGGAAAGTAGGAACTTGAGATGTATTTGTACATCTCATGATGAGATATACTTTTCTCATTTGTTAAGTGGGGACAATCACCATACTCCTTCCTACAGGGCTGTCATGGGGCCTAAGTGAGTATACACATGCAAAGCACTGAGTGACCAGACTCAATGATTATGAGAGCTAATTATTAGGTGCACTGACAGTGGCCTATGGTACAGGCCATCTCTTCCTCTCCTCATGGGGAAGGCAAATACACCTAAAACGATCATAGTCTTATGAAAATCTTGACTGCCAAGCAATGAAGGCCCTGTTTCCTAGAGCATGAACTGAGGAAGTCTGCTCAAATCCAAAAGATGACATAATCACACTGGAGTCCATTTGATTTGTGATGGGGTTACCGTCTAAAAAAAGAGAAATAAGGTTTGTTCTGCATTTTCTAGAAAGATGGGCTTGAATTAAATGGTAACTATTACAGAGGAAAAAGGCTCAGAATAAGAAAGACTAACACTGAAAACACCAAGCATATAAAAGGACAGGCTGACTTGAAAGGCAGAGTATTAAGTTACGGAGTATGAAAGTGAGTTCCATCAGTCAAGGATAACAGAGAAAAGATGTTTCTCAGCCCATCCATGCTAGTGACATGGCAACTACTGCCATCATACCAAGATGGTCAATACTTTGAGAAACTACCAAGCACTGCTGTGAAGACTGTACACGCAGCACCCATTTAATCTTTACCATAGCCACCGACTCCACAGTGTTTTGTTTTTTTTTTAAGATTTATTTATTTGTGCATACAGAACTGGGGTACAGGCCAGAGGCTCAGGGGCGGTGAGAGGCTTCACCAGAGACAGAGTGGGGAACAGAACAGGCAGATGGACGAAGTACACTGCTGAGGGGAGCAGCGGGCGGGTCAGGAGAGGTCTGGCTCGCCATGTGGTCACCTCCGGGGCAGGCGGGAATTGAACTCATGTGGAAGCGGCTCTAGATTCTCAGTGCTGTGCTTTAACCCGCTGCGCCACCAGGGAGGGCCCCACAGTGTTTTTTTTTAAAGAATTATTTATTTATGCATATAGAACTGGGGTACAGGCCAGAGGTGCGGGGGGTTAAGGATTCAGCAGAGACAGAGTGGGGAGCAGAACAGATAGACTGAGGAAGTACACTGCTGAGGGGAGCAGGGGCATGTCAGGAGAGGTCTGCAACACCATGAGGGTCTCCTCCCTGACTGGAGAATTGAACTCATGCTGCAGTGGCTGCATATAGCTTCACAGTGCTGCGCTTCAACCCATGCACCACCCCAAAGGGTCCACAGTCTGCATTCTTAACCACAATGTGCTACCTCCTTCCCATCTCCAGGAACCTGAGCAAGTTATTTAACCTGTGTGTCTCCCTCTCCACATCTTTTTTTTTTTTTTTAAAGATTTATTTACTCATACAGAACTGGGGTACAGGCTGGAGATGCGGAGGGTGAGAGGAGTCACCAGAGACAGAGTGGGGAGCAGGACAGGCAGAACAACGAAGTACACTGCTGAGGGGAGCAGTGGACGGGTCAGGAGAAGTCTGCCTCGCCATGTGGATCACCTCCAGGGTAGGCTGGGATCATGCCGAAGTGGCTTAAGCTTCTTAGTGCTGTGCTTTAACCCCCTGTGCCACCAGGGAGGGCCTCCCTCTCCTCATTTCTAAACTGAGGATAAAATAACACTTACCTTATACAGCAGTAATGAAGATAAAATGAAATGACACATTAGGTCAGCACCTAAGGCATTACCTGACACATAAACACGTATTTTTCATATAAAGGTCACTTCAACTTTTAAGAAAAGTTTTTACTTGGAGGGTAAATTACAGAAAGCACAAAGAACTTTATCTTGTCTATAGTGAACAATTTGACTCAAATTTTTTATCAAGTAATGTAATTCAAGGTTTGTTGATTTGGGATTCATTGAGTTAAAACTAACAAGCAAACAAAAAGACAGCGTTGGCAAAAGATGGGCAACACTGCAAGAGTTCCACAGAGAGATTCTCTGCACACTTTGTCATGGCTTAACAGCAAAACCTTGAGGAAAAAAAAAAAAAACGGCCTATTGCATCACTCATTGCTTACTTCATTCACCATCTTGAAAGCGTCACTCAACCAATCTATTATATTTTCAGAAAAGTCCTTAAGGGCTTCAGGAATTTACCCAGCATCTACTTAACCATTTCTCAGACTTAGTCAATCCAACCTACTTCTTTTTATATTGCTGCCATACAACAGTAACTTGGCATCCAAAATGGCTCCATAAACTTTCTATTCACCCTTAATCACTCCTAACTAGCACCTTTACAGAACCTTTACTTTACTCAAGCTTCCAGATCTACTCCTGTCCCACCCTCAGTTATTCTAGACTCCTCAGTAATTAGAAAATATAACCAATTTCAACACAAATTCTTCCTAAAGCAAATCAAGCCAATAATTACTGATATCTTTGTCTAGCCTTCTACTCTCCTTCCTAGCTTAAAAGAAATAAACGTTTCCATATATACTTCCCAAGGCCAACTCTTTCTTCTATTCTTTCATAGAAAGGTTAACATATCTCCTTTGATTTGTTATTCTGGCAACTATTCTCCCATCTTCATCTCTCTCTTAGATCCTCCAACTTTTTCCATCCATCTATAAACATGTTCATAAGAAAAAAATTTGCACTCCTGCTTTCCTGACAGGCCTTGGCCAGGTCCCATTTTACTGCCAAATATATGGTCTCTTACTCCTTATATAACTGACTAAACTAATAAATGTGAATCACTGAAGGCAACCTAATATCCTGATGCAGGTTATTCTTGATTATAAACAACCTTGTAAGTATGCTCAAAGGTTCTGATGAACAGCAGTCACAAAATCTGGTGACCAGTAATTAATTTTTTCCATCTCTATTGGCTTTCAAACATAATAAAAGAAAAATTACAGAGGTTTGTTACACATGACAAACTGTACTTTAACTGAATGTTAGTATGTGTTTTGAGATTTCTAACAAAATTTATAGATTAGCACGACTAATATATTAAGTTTTTTTTTGGAAGATCATTCTTACATGAGCTAAGCCTTTATATCCTAGAGTAATTAACGATTTAAGTTATAAATAATATAATGCATATTATCTATATGAATGCATAGAGCTTCATCTGACTTAAAACTACCACATATATGGAACAATGAGGTTACAGATAAAGGCTTCTCTGTACCTTCAAGGAAATGGATCTAGTAAAAGGAGCTAAAGTAGGAAAGAACAGGGATTTAACAAGAAGGAAGCAAGCCAGTGAGGGTGGGGCACAGAAAACAAGAGGAGGGAGGCACATCCAGATCTCATATGGCCTCCTAGACAGAAGGAACACATTTTGGTATGCAGTGAGAACAATGGGAAGCAAATCAAAACCTTTTAACTGAGAGACGGATGAGAGCTGCAGTTTTAAAAAGATTACTCTAGCTGCTACCTGGAGAATGAATGGGTAGTTGACCAGGATGAGTATGATGGCAATAAGCAGGAACTAGGAGGCTGCTGTAGAAGCTTAAGAGGGAAATGATGGTAGCCTAGATCAGGTGGCAGTAGAGATAAAAATGAGACAGATTCTGGAAGATAAAATCAAGTAAGACTTGATGTTTAGATATGAGGGAAAGAAAGGAAATGTCAATGACATGTTGGTTTCCTGAGTTTATATAGAGATGTACAGGGAAGTGCAAAGTTTGTATACCTTATAATTAACAGAAATTACTTATGGGAAGAGAAATTACACATAGTAAAATATTTTACTGTATCTGCATTGTTTAAATATTTGTATAATTAGCAGGGACACATTTTTTAGTAGTTACATTCATGTGAAATAAGAAGAAACACAGCATTTGCCTGGCTGCAAAAGATAGGAATTGGTTTTTTAGGAAGAAGGAAACTATCTAAAGGTACAAAAATATTTAGAGGATCTAGTCTAGTGTTTACAGGTTAAGAAAGAAGGATGTGTACTGAGATATGATGAGCAGATAAAGTGTTTTAGAATATAGCCAGTTTACAAAGGATCTCATCATATGCCAGGTTAAAGAAAGCATTTCCTAAAATGTAGGAACAGGGAAGCAAACCACTGTCAAATGGGAGAAATCAATTTTATATTTTAGAAAGATCATTTTAGAGGCAGTGTGAAGACCAAAGTGAGGTTAAAAACACTGGGAAGACTGGGAGATCACTCAGAAACTTAAGCTACATCTGAGGCTATAGAAGGGGCAGATTTAAGATTCATTTCAGAAGTAGACAGGTCTAGGTGGTTAAGCTAATGTGACAGGGAGAGAAAAGGGAAAGCAAGGATGCTTGCCATGATTTTTCGTTTAGGAAATCAGATGTGATGAAACCAACTTAGGTAATTTAAGAATGGGTTAAATGAGAAAATAATAAATTTTGTTTTGAAGATGATCAGGTTAAGGACATCTGAAGCAGTAGATCAAGGTGAGGAAGTTGCACCCCTAAGATTGAATTTGAGGAGCAAGGTGAGAAGTGGAGCACATGAACCCGGAAGAGAGAATTTAAACCTGTGGTTATCTTACCCTCGATGTAATTTCACTGAATTCTTGAAGCAACTGTCAAATGTTGACCAGTTCCATTTATTGTTATAGTTGCAGAAATTCCACATAGTTGTTAATCTCTGTAGGCAATAACTTGAAAAAGCAAGCCAGAGCTTTTATCTTGTTCTCCCTTTTAGTCTTTTTATTTCTCCCCTTGTCCTTTGATTACCTCTGTCTATTTATTTATATCTATTTGATTAAGAAAGATCTAGGAGGTATAGGAAGTATAACATAAACGTTTTTCATTAGTTTCATATTTTGTCTGAATTTTGAAGACAGAAAAAAGAACATTTCACATTCTACTTTTAACAAAACCTAAGTCAAATAATTTACTGAGGTGACTCTCCACTGATTTTCTAAGACATTGACCTTAATTAACTGACATCCTCCTCAAGGTAGTCAACTTCAGCTGCAGCTTTCACCACAGAGGCTCCTGGAACAGTCCTCTTGTTGCTCACTGTCAGAAATCTGAGTCACACCTTTGCCTAACTGACGATGCCCTAGTTTGCTGGGAGGTAGAGAGGAAGGACCTGTTGGCAAGGAAACAGCTGCTTCCTTCCTGAGTCAGGGAAAACTAGGAAGGTGACAGATGGGCAGAACAGAAAGGCAGCCAAAAGTTTGACTGGCTCCTCATTGACAAAGGTTTTTCACTGAGGCACTGCTGGGTATTTTAAAGCATATCAATGATTGAGAGCATCTGATCCGCCTGGGTGCTCTGATGAAGTTCAACAAGGCTCCCATACATTTTCTACGTTTGAAAACTTTTAACTCTTTTAGCTCTTTAAAGAACCAGGCCTCAACCTATGTACACCAGGATGAGAATGCAAGGCACTGTCCCATTTCACTTTAGGATTATATGCAATAGAATGCACCTTCTAGTTAAAAAGAAAAAGGAGATTTCCATTTTCTGTACAGTATATTTGTAAGTCTTAGAATTGTTAAAATTTCATTAGAAAGTTTTTCTTAAATACATTTACTTTTGTATATTTAATTTTAAAAAGATTTGTTGCAAACTTTATTTTGCTCTTTTATCATTCCACCACCATCCACTTCTGTACCCAGAAAATTTAATATCCAAGGATTCCTGGGTAAAATAGACAACCACTGGATTGTTATGTCATAACTAACATATTTTTAAAATAGATAGGTTATTGTTCTTCATCAAATAGAAATTAGCAATCACTGATAACAACATTAAAAATTAGTGTGGGCATGAAGTATGGAATTTTAAAACATCAGTTTACTATGCTGATTAATTCAACATTTATATTTTCATCAGAACTTAATAATCCCATAAATAAATAGAGCTCTCAATTATTTAAAAAAATCAAGGGATAACATATGTATTTAGACATATTAGCAGCGTAAGAGATGTATGCTTCAACACACTTATTGGGAAAATGTCTGAAAATAGTACTACATTGAATTCAAGGGCATCTGCAGGAATCTGACATAAAAGTTCTCTAGAATAACATTTCAGGAAATTCCAAAAAAGGAAAAAGGGTCCAATAAGAAATAGCTCAAATTAATTGACAAAGTTCAGTGCTTGCTCCAACTTGATTTTTCTCTCCATTGCAAATAATAATAATAATAATAATAAAACAAACAAACAAAACCAAGTCTCAGGAAGGGTGGGTTCATCACTTAGATGAAAGTTCATCTACTGGAATAAAAGGAGAAGTCGCTTGGGCAGGCGACACAGGAGAGTCGGTGGTAGTGCTGACTTTCGCTGGTGAATTACAAGAAGATCCGGCACTGCTGCTGTTTCCATCAAGGGTATCTGAAGACACACACACACCGGGATCTGACAGCTGTGCAACGTCAGAAGAAAGCATGTTGGTAATGCCCTGGAAAAATCTCTTTGGCTGATACTCAGTTTCCATTTCACATTTTCTTTTCAATGGTCCAAGAACACTTGGTCTAATGCAATTGATGGGACTCTGACTTCTCCTCGTAGTAAATCGGGTGGTTGGGCTGGGAATAGGGCTTGGAGGCAATCCATTGCTACTCACAAAACTTTGCAAGGATGGTGAAAAACACTGCTTCCCAATTCCCCGGGTGGGTGACGGTGCTGGTGACACCGGGATGAAGTCGATGCGCTTCGGAGAGGCGGATTTCTCCACGTCGTTGTCACTCAGGCTGAAACTTTCCTCCCAGGAGTGGCTTATCTGCATTGCGGTCTGCACCTCCCGCTCGTGGACCGTCTCGCGGTTGATCAAGTCCATGCCCTCCTCCTGTTTGATCTGGTGCAAGCGGCTGCTGTGCATGCGGACCGGGGAGGCCGGTAGCAGCAGGCCGGGGCGGCTCGGGAACGTTGTGCTGTTCCGCCTGGCGCTAGGCGCCTCGGCCTGGAACACCGGAGAAGTGTCACTGAGGCCGTGGATTAGGGGGGCGCTGTTAGACCTCCTGAGGCCCCCGCCGCCGCCGCCGCCGCCGCCCTCCACCGGGTTCCCGCCCGTACCCGGAGGCAGCTCCAGGTCTAGCTCCATCTTCTCCTGAGCCATGTCGGGGCAGGGAGGCGGGGGCGGTGCTCAGTCAGAGAGACCTAGGACTTCCATTCCCCCGCAGTACTGGGCCGGCGCCGCCGCCGCCGCCGCCGGCGCCACCCTTGAAGCAGGCCGACTCGTAGTGCTTGTTGAGATAGGACTTGAGCGCGAAACTTTTCTTGCAGCGCTTGCACTGGAAGTGCTTGAAGGCCGAGTGCGTCTGCATGTGCGCGCGCAGGTTGGAGCGGTCGGCGAAGGCCTTGCCGCAGTGCGCGCAGCCGAAGGGCTTCTCGCCGGTGTGCG